TGTTATTCAACACTGTTCTTTCTGATTCATGCATTACGTAACTTTGAGGGGAAAGTAAACAGACACTGAGGATTTGCATCATGAGAAAATTGATCTTAAATGTTTCCAGCTGAGGGGATGTTCTGTGGCTATACTTTTGTGAAACAGAGACTTACTGATTTGCTGAATTACCCACGTGTAGAGATTTTGGCTCATACTAACCTTGAAGGACTATATCATGGGATAAAGTTGCTTGCCACCAAACAGTGCATGTAAAATTTAGTGTAGAATTGACATTCTCTGCGTTCAGTCAGAAGAAAAAAATAATCTAAACCATTGATTAGAAGGTACAGATTCACAGTCTCCTCCCAAATGGTTTGTATTTAGTTTGAGAATCTAAGACTGAATTTTCATAACAAATGTCTCAGCAAACTTGGGAGACTGATGTGGAGATAGAATTTATTTTGGGGCAAAGTGAATGTTTGAACTGGGGTTCTGTAGATCAATAATTATTGCGAGGTGGAAAGATTGCGATCAGTCAGAATTATGGAACTCTCCGAATTTTAAATCTTCTATTATTTTCATAGATCACCAAACCCTCAAAACCATGTCTAGATGGTACCTCACGCCACAACAAATGTCACACATATGTCCTACAGAATCGCCCTACTGTTGGAAAGGGTGTCAACAACACGGCACGTATGCACATTGCTGGTGGAAATGTGAAAAGATACAGGCCCGAGAACTAGTCTTACACTACATTCATAGCATCACAGGGATCAAACTCCCCCTTACTCCAGAAGTGCTCTTCCTTGAACTCTGGCCTGTTCCAATTGCTACACACCACTCCAAGCCAACCATTGACATCATGATGTATACGGCAAAAAATGCTATTGCCTCTTGTTGGCGCAAACCCTACCCCCCCAACCTGAAGATGTGGTTCAGAAAACTGTGGGAGACATACTTGATGGACAATATCTCTGACAAAATTAACAAATCCCTATTGAAACCAGTCAAAACAAACTTTGATAGCAAATGGTTCCCGATATTAGAATTTATATCACGGCATGAATTCATATCACCAGATTGGAAACAATTGCAGAAATGGCTCTAAACACTGACCCTCTCAAAAAGTATACCATATTGTATTCCTATTGCTTTAATAATTTCTCTCTACCTTAATGATATGAGTTTCCCTCTTTTATGACGCTTTAATGTATTATAAGTAGCACTAAAGAAGAAATCCGGGATTCCTCTCCACATGGAAATACACTGTCGATTGATTGTGCATAGGTAGTTTTGTTAAACTGCTGAATTTCATTACGCTTTATCCCAGTTGTACTATATTGCACCGTAAAATGCAAAATGCTTTGCATTGATGTGTTACTTTAATGTTTACTCAACTTACAATAAAAATTACAAATTAAAAAAAAGAAAAGAATTGTTGCGGGGTGGACTGGAGGAATGACTGAAAAGAGATTGCAGTAGGGTAGTAACTAAGCTAACCGGAGAAAATAGCCATATCCCAAAGGGCACAATACTTCTTCTAATGGCTCATTGATTTGAATCTTTTTGCTTCATCTCGTGTTTTGCTTTTTCTTCATTGGTTCTCTTCCCCCCCCCCCTCTTTTTAAAGGAAATGACGATATCTTGGTGTTTGAAAAGGGCTGAGCTGGTATTTAAGTGTGTCAAAGGTCAGTGCTTCCATCCTTCTGTTCTGTATTCTTGAAAATGATAATTTCACAGTACACAGTCTAAGCACTGAGGAATAATGGTATAGAAATATAGTAAATAAATAATTCCATACGGAAATACAAAGTTTCCACCAGGAAATACCCTTGTAAGTTAAATGGCCATGTCGGGTTAGAACAGATAAAAGGAAGTATTTCTTCACCCAAAGAGTGATTAACACATGGGATTCACTGCCAGAGAAGGTGGTGGCAGCTATAAGCATGGATGGCTTCAAGAGGGAATTGGATAAATATATGGAGCAGAAGACCATCAGTGGCTATTAGCCACAAGGTATAGATAGGAACTCTCAGGCTGGGGCAAGTGATGCTCTGTATTCTTGATGCTTGGGGGGTGGGGCAACAGTGGGAGGGCTTCTAATGTCCTGGCCCCACTGCTGGACCTCCTGATGGCACCTGGTATTTTTTAGCCACTGTGTGGCACAGAGTGTTGGACTGGATGGGCCATTGGCCTGATCCAGCATTGGCTTCTCTTATGTTCTTATTAGATAGGAACTCTCGGTCTGGGGCAAGGGATGCTCTGTATTCTTGGTGCTTGGGGGGGGCAACAGTGGGAGGGCTTCTAGTGTCCTGGCCCCACTGCTGGACCTCCCGATGGCACCTGATATTTTTGTCCACTGTGTGACAGAGTGTTGAACTAGATGGGCCGTTGGCCTGATCCAACATTGGCTTCTTTTCTGTTCTCCCCTGCTCCCCTGTAGGGACCCAAAGCAGCTTATGTTACTCTCCCTTCCTTCATTGTATCCTCGTGATGGCCACTCTGTGAGATTGGTCAGGCTGGAAGGGAGTGACTAGCCTGTGGCAGAGTGAGGATTCAAACTTGGGTCCTCACGATCCTGGCCTGACACTGTAACCTGTACACCACACTGGTGAATGAATTAAATCTGCCACGCCCAAACTTTTTTTTGTCTTGTGGAAGTGTCCTGAGTCCAGACTTAACTTTGTGGGCCTTTCCACTGTGCTTTTTTGAGGAAGGGGGACACTCAAGAATCAGATGGGTCAGAGAAGTAATGATTCAAACATTCTGTCCATAAATGGGCAGTGTGTGATGCCTCACAATCTGACATGGACCACCCTGGTTTAGCGTTGGAAGATGAATCCTCATCAGAGGAGGACAACCCGTCCCCAAGCCCTTCCTTGGCAAGACCCTCCCTGTGAATCCAGTTTCTCAGGACATCCTCCAGGGACCCCGAATTGGCACTGGTGCCGCCCTCTCAGCCGGCAGGGCCCTCAAGCCAAGGGGTCCAGAATGGACCCGCCCACTGCCAGACCCACCATGATTTCCTGAAGGACCTCAGGAGTAGAGAAGGTGGAGGGCATGGGCTGAGGCTTGGACCAGGTGCAGGAGTGTACGCTTGGCAGCCCAAGGGAATGCCAGGGGAAACCAATAAAGTCATCACAGAATCTGCCCCCCTATTTCTCATGAGTAAGGAGCTGACTTAGCTTGTGGAGAGGAGCTTGATGTGGCAACAGTCTCTCCTGCAGGGAGGGGCCCAATGCAGTAGTAGATAGTAAAACTTGTGCCAAGGGAATGCCAGGGGAAACCAATAAAGTCATCACAGAATCTGCCCCCCTATTTCTCATGAGTAAGGAGCTGACTTAGCTTGTGGAGAGGAGCTTGATGTGGCAACAGTCTCTCCTGCAGGGAGGGGCCCAATGCAGTAGTAGATAGTAAAACTTGTTGTGTAGCCATTAGCTGTTACAATTTAAAACAATGTACACAGTGCCTTATGCAAGGCTGCAGTGACGAATTTATGAGCTTGTCCGAATCCCGAAAAAAAATCCCGAAAAATTCGGGTCCATTATAACCAATGGGGCCATTGAAGTCAATGGCAAAAATCCTCTTGAAACTTTGTGGGGGTCTGGGGGGGAGGGGGTTTGGGGTAGAGGCTCCAAACTTGGAGCGTGCTCACTGGAACCTCTCCCCAACATACCCACCAAGTTTCAAGACGATTGGACCAGGGGGTACAATTTTATGGGCCCCCAAACAGGTTGCCCCCAGATCAGCTTGCTGCAGTTTATTCCCGGTTTGCCGCCGAAATTCGGCGGCAATTCGGCAACATTGTATCCTATGGACCTTGGAGTGGGTAAGCTCCAAACTTGGAGGA